GTCTGACTTGGCTTCTAGGACTGGTGTGGACCACACAAGGCTTAGGAGTGGCAGCTTCAGGGCCAGTGGTGTTATGACTTTCTCCTCCTTCTCCCTGCTTTCTGATGTAGGTTGTGAAGCTGTGCCGTGAATGCCTGAAGAAACAGGAGCCTGTGCTGGGAGACACAAACATCTACCTCCTGAGGATCCTCAGCATTGCCTCTGAGGTCCTCTCCTACCTCCAGATGTTTGAGGAAGCAGCTGAATATGCCAAGAGGATGGTGGACGGCTACATGTATGGCTCTGCTCTGTTTTTGGCAGCTCTCTCTGGTTATGCAGTGTTAGGCAGTGTGTTATAGAAGTTATTTTCTTAGTCTGCTCCCATCGGAACGAAAGTGCTGGCATTCAGATCTTGATCTGATCACCAGACAGAGAGGAACCCATTCCTAAATGCTTTCAAACACCTTGAATTACTTAACTGTAAATGACAAGTAGTTTGTATCATCTTTCATTAGCCTCTTTGGTTTGCTCAGAAGCATCTCAGGGCTGCCCTAGTAGCAAAGCACAGAGCCCGAGTGTGGCACAGAGATCATCACTGCAGGACCTGGTCTGCTCTCCTGCAACCTGCAGGAAAGATAAGTTGCAGAGAAAAGAGGAGCAGTGTCAAATGACTGTCACTCAAGATATCCCTTCACTCTTGAGTAATATGAGGCCTTAGTTAATGAGATGTTGATGATTGTTGCCTTTTCAATTTAGGCACATCATTACACCTGTGATGTTGGTGACATCTGGGCTGCATGATCAGGTCTCCAACCCAGGTGTTCAGCTCACACTGTCTGCAGGTTGTTCATTCTCTTTCACAACACCTTGTGTCCTTGTGTAACCCATGCCCTCGTGCCCCTTGCAGGGCTGCACATTTCCTGGCAACAAATTCAATAGAATATTCAACTGAGTAAACAGTTTGCTCTCTGGAAAACATGTCACATCACTGACAAACATTTGGGAATTGAGATCTTTCCTGAACTAAAATTACTCAATGCTTTTCCAGGAAAATATACCATCCTAACAACGCACAGCTGGGGATGGCTGTGATGCGAGCAGGAGTGACCCACTGGCATGCTGGCCTCATTGAAGCTGGACACAGCATGATCTGTAAAGCCTATGCCATTCTCCTGATAACCCATGGACCTTCCCACCCAATTACCAAAGACCTGGAGGTAGGTGTCACAATCTCCCTTCTTGCCTCTGTTATCTGCCTGGATGAGGTTGCATTCAGTCTGTAGGAACGGCCCATCTATAAGAAACAGGTCAAGTTATGGCTGCTTCTTACTAGTGCCATCCTTTTCTCTAGGTCATTTTAGTCTGCTGGATAGTGCACATTCCTTCCTGTGGGAAATTTTCATCCCTGAAAAATATCTTTTGTTCTGCACCAGTACATGCTTTAAAAATAGCCATTGAGTCCCTGAATCTTTTTTTGAAACACTGAGCCCAAGGGCAGAGCCTCCCATTCTTCAAACAGCCTGACCTCATCGCTCTCAGATGGATGGCATTCAATTTGGCTGTATCAAATTACAGATGGTGAACTTGTTTCTGGCTTACCAACCAATATTCTTCATCTTGTATTGATGACCATTCTTCTTTATTTACCACTCCCTAGTCCTTTTGGACTGCAGTTTATTTTTTTTCTCAAATGACTGATATGTGTATTTTTTAGCTTAAGGTCAAGAGCTGCAGATCCCAGGAGAATCACACATGTTGAGCTGTGATGAACTATATATGACTGCATCTGAGGGCGGATCATTTCTTCATCCTTTAACTCTCTCAAATGGCCTGTTGGCATTGTAGTATTCTCCTTTAGTAGCCAAAAAAACTTACACAGTGCCAAATTAAATCCTTTATTGATGTTAGTCCCCCTAACAGCATAGCTATAATCTTAGTGCAATTTTATATTATCAGAAGAATGACTGTCTTGTGCCTAAAGTAAAATGGTCTCTTGACTGTTCGCCTCTTTATATCTCATAGGGTAAGACTCCAGCACCTTAATTCCTGTATTTCCCTTTTCACTTTCTTCAGGATGAAAATACTAGATCTTTGACCTCTGTGCTGCTAAACTAAAGGTTGAAGGAACTTACAGACAGGTGTAAAAAGATTTCCTTAAATCCCTTCTGAACTTTTGTCATAATGCAGCACTATAAATGATTGTTCATAGTGAATCCAGGGATGAGGTTTTCCAGGAGCCTGCAGAAGGGCTGGGTGCAGGAAGGGCTGATGCCTTATTCGCCTTCATAGGTCACAGGCAACCAGCTCTGAGAAAGTAAATGCTATTTCTGTCCAGTCAGCCTTGGTTCTGCTGCTGGGACACCTGGAGCAAGAAGAATCAGAGTCATTACATGGCTTAGAACATCCCTGATGGACAGCCCTCATTTTTAGGCAGTGTGTTTTTCACTGGCTTTGAGATCTCCTGCATCACAGGTGTTTAATCTGTTGTGTCTCTCAGGTCATGCGTGTCCAGACAGAGATGGAGCTGCGCATGTTCCAGCAGAATGAGTTTATGTACTACAAGATGAGGGAAGCTGCCCTCAAAAACCAAAAGATTCAAGTCATGCCTGAACCCAGCAATGAGGCCCCACCGAGCCTCTTCCACAAGAAGGAATAAATATTGATCTTGACACAAAGTCATGCCTGTTAGGTAACACCACCCGTGGGACCTCCAGACATGGAGAATGTGATATGTGAATGTGATACATCCCCAAGGATTGTTTCCAGTGCCACCAGTCTGAGAGCATGGACCAGCGGGGATAGTCCTGAAAATCTCCTGAGAGCTCACAGCAGAAAATCTCTTGGCAAAAGCAACATCATTTTCTACCACAAGCATTAAAAAATCAAAGCAAGAAACCTGCTATAAAATTATTTACGTTCTTATTGAAAGCCAGTTTCTCTCTGGGAAAGTCCTGCAGTGCTCAGTTAAATTTTTAATTGGCTCTGTCCTGATTTTTTTCCATCACTTCCTTGTGATGACATCACTTCTTGCCAGTGATATCTATGTGTGGTTGACCAACAGACAGTACAAGTGGGAAGCTGGTTCCAAGAAGTGTCTTGTATGCCTGTGGGCATCAAGTGCAAAGCAACTAAGAAATAGAGATGGTATTTTGAGTAAAGTGATCTTTTGCTGATGAAAAACTGATGAACAGGTTCTGCAGGTGACGTGGGTGTAAATCAACCTGTGTGGACTCTGACCACAGTGACTGGGTGCCTAAATGGGATTGGTGTCTAAAGATACATTAGTTAAGAGAAGTTAGTTTGTTAAAAATCACACAATGTCCACAGTGGTGGCAGCAAAAGGACGTGAGAGAAGTCCATGCCAGATGCCATTCGCAGTAGTGTGGTGCAGTGGCTGTGTGGACTGTTTTTACTGAACAGGCAGTTCTCCAGGAGGGGAACCCCCTTTGCTCAGAGCTGGGGGCTCTGATTCTTACCTGTACCAGTCCTTCATCTTAGGTGCTTAATCAATTTTGCACCGAGCCTGAATGGAGAGAAGGAAAAGTCTAATGGCAATGGATGGATTTCCAAATAACAAAAAAATCTTTGCTGTCTGCCCATCTGTAAATCCAAATTATTTGCTCCAGATCTTCATTGATAACAAAGAGATGAAAAAGGACTGATTATTGAAAAATCCCCTACCAGCTCCTCAGCAAAATAGCAAGAATAGCAAGAAAACAAAACCAGGCTTTTTCCTCTTGACATTTCTCAGAGATTTTGGTGGTGATCCTCCAGTTCTAAGATGAGTTTGCTGGACACAAACTTCAGCTCTTTAGATGTTGAACTAGATCCTTCCACTAGTCAAGGAGGTACCTATGTGACCTCAACTGTGACAATCTCTATTGGTTTAGTTCCTAACATGAAGAACAATGCCAATCTGCAGCTTGAAAACCTTTGATGGGGAAATTATGGCAGAGATGCACAGGAGGACAAATTAGTCCTTTAACAGTACACATTGGAATTGTAGAAGGAGATAGGGAGGCACTGGTGTTGTTTTCCTAACATTCTTATAGCTTTGAATTGTTGTGAGAACATCATCCTAGGTAGGTATATTACACAAGCAGAACACTCATTTCCCAGCAAAAAATCCCAGTTAGCTTTCAAGCATAGAGCTTGGAAAAGTCAGCTAAGAAGGGAGAATTTTCTCTCTCCTGATTTCAGAAAACCAGGTCTCCATCCAGCCTGCAGTACCAAGCGTTGAAGTTGACCATGGTGCTCCTATGTCTGCGCTATGAGTAACCAGTGCTGACCTCCTCTGAGCAGAGAAAACCTGTATTTCACTCCAGAGTTTATATCCAGTAACCCAATTTATCAGGCACAGTTCGTGGCAAAACTGAACACCTAAAGGCTGTCTGGTGCCCTTTGCTGGTTGGAAGGGATGGGGGAGAGACGGTGATGGGGTGGCCAGAGCCTGTAGGTCTTGCTCCTCTTTTGAATAAGTGAGCATAGGGATGGCTGCTGGGATGCCTCAACTCCCCCAGTGCTGGTCTCTGCTCCAAGGCAGCTTTCCAGGCAGGTTCACCAACATCTGCCACCCTCAACCACCTCGTTCTTTGGCCCTGCCAATTACTTTGATGTCACTTCGGCCAAGTCTTTAAGGAAGGGGACAGAACCCTTTCTCTGGTCTTGGCACAGTACTTTTCCATCCACCCAGCTGTGTGCAGCCCAGCAGTATGTCCCAAGAAGGACAGTAGTGCCTGAATCTCAGAATGGGGCTGACAAGCAGCAACACAGAGGGTCTCACGATGGCTTGGCTCAGCCTGCTGCCCAGTTTTTTTTCCAGGGTTTTTGTGAGTTTTGGAGGCTTGCACTTTTTTATAGCAACAGCAAAGAGGTTTATTATGAAGATGTTTTCATACAAATTTTACTTTAATGGAACTCATTCTACACAGTAAAATGATAAGTTTGTGCAGGGTCTCTAGACTCTCTTGCTGATTCTCTTGTAGGTGAGGTCTCCCTTTGTCATGGTCTGAAAAACAATAGAAATTGTTAGCTTTGCATTGCACTTGGCTCCAAACCCTACTTGGAAAAGATCTGGTCTTGCAAATCAGCACAGGACTGATCTCCATCTAATCATCTATAAATCAAATTATTAAAGCTTGGGATATATTCATGAGTACCCCAACACAGATAAGGATAATCTGATACTGACTGGAATCACAATTGTACATTTCCTCTTTACAGGTGCCAGGCCCCACCCTAAACCTATAAATATGGCTGAAAACATGCCCTCATTACATATAACTTTGATCAGCAGTGCCTGGTAGGATCTCAGAGGGCACTTAGTGAATCAGACTGTTTCAAAAACAATGCCTTCATTGCCTGGTCAACTGATCTGCTTTGGTTACAGAGCCTGAATGCAAGCATGTGCTCATCTCCAGCACCTGTTTAAGGTCTCTAGCATCACTGTAGGCTTTTCAGTGCCTGGCCCCCCTTGGACCCCTGAAGGCAGCTGTCTGCACTGTTAATCTGGTCATTGCCCTTCTCTTCTCCACTTACATGGATGATGGTGTCTCCGTTGAGTTCGGTCACGGATTTCAGCCCCTTCAGGTTAGTAACCAGTTTGTTGTTACCTTCCATGTTAACAACACACTGATAAGAAGAGAAGAGACAAAGGCATTAATGTTAGCACTGCACACCCCCTGCATTTTGTCCTTCCCCTTCTGTACTGAGCTGCTATTGTCTCCTCTGAAACTGCTGGGAGCAAGCTGCTCCTTGGTGATGTAGCTTTCCGAAGAGGAGGGATTGTTGTGCTGGTGATGCCCACAACACAGCAAGAGTATGGGTGTTTACTTTGGGCACTGCAAACCTCTATGAAAGAGATACAATTTTTCTGGAAAGGTCTCAGCTGAATTGGTATGTTTGTTGAGTTTCTGCCCCCCAGGAACTACATGTCTATAAAGGCTTCAGACAGCACTGATGCCCTCAGGGCAGCCTTGATTGATTGTTGAAATTACTCAGAGAAATAACACAGCAAAATCAATTTCTGTTCACCTGTTTGTCCATCTGCACAACATCTTCATCTGCCCTCAAGCTGCTGATTTATGGAAGCTAAAACTTTTTTCCTAACCCCTGGTTTCTGTTCATGGGTCTTCAGGGATGGTAGAAACCACACAAGGCAAATACTACTCTCAGAGCCCAGCTCATTGGGGCATGTCTTTAGTGATCGTTCCTCCTGCTTTCAATAGTCCCTGCAGTATCAACTTCTCCCGGTGTAGAGCTGAGATGCAATATTTGCCAGTGGTGCCATCTTGACATTTCATGAATCACTGAAAAGTATTGTCCAGGAACTGGAGCTGAGGAACTGGAATTTCCAGAGTCATAAATCCTCACCTTGCCAAATCATCTCACCCAGTGTGAACAGCAGCAGTGCAAAAGGCTGGCAGACAAGCTAACAGCCTCTGGGACTTAAAAGGACAGGTTTATTGGTTTATGATTCATTGGTTGACTTTCTTGTGCTACCTTTAAGTCAACAAAATGAAGGGAGAGTATGTTTTGTTTTGCAGCATGACAAAGTAAACCTCTTTTCACTTCAAACTTCTCAGTCAGAAAGGTTTGCAGTCAGAAGAATTTACCAAAGCCTCTCTGTCCTCCTTTTCCAAAGTGGCTGTTAAAATATTGGCTTTCTATATTTCCAATGAAATAACTTTAAAAATGCAGAGCTTCATCCGCAGAGATGCTGCAGATGAAGAGAGGGGAGGATGTATGGTGCCTTATAGAAGCAGAGGGGAGGTGGAAACCTCAGAGAGCCAGGCTCTGAGTTTGTCAGAAGGTCACACAGCAGTGCACTATCACTTTCAGAAATTTATTTTCAAGAGATTTGCAGAGGGCCTACAAGGAGCAGGGCAGTGAGCGTCACACCTGCAGGCTTGGTTTCAGCAATTAAACCCTTCCCAGTGCACTAAATCACACATGCAAACTGCAAGAGGCAGAACTGGTCCGGGGAATTATCCAGCTCTTGCCCTCTACATCTAACACTTTAGATTTAATTCCCTTGATGTGGTTATTCCCTTTAGCCCATGTGCAGGGGGATGACAGGAATGGAACAGGTTGCCCAGAGATGTGGTGGTTGCCTCATCCTAGGAGACATTTAAGGTCAGACTGGACAGGGCTCTGAGCACCCTGATCTGGCTGTAGGTGTCCCTGTTCATTGCAGGGGAGTTGGGCTGGATAGCCTTTAAGTGTCCCTTCTGACTCAAATGATTCCATGAATGTATGAATCTGTGAGATGCAATGTCCCTCAACCTCTTGGCTTGGACAGAGAGGGATCTGATGTCTCACCTTGACCTTCTCTCCTGTTGGCAGATCCATCTCACACTCCTCCCCAATGGTGAACTCATTGGTCATTACTTTGGGGCCAGCAGTAAAAGTAATCTTGAACTTATTCCCATTCTGCACAATTTCTGAGACACTCTTCATGTCCTTACCCTTCTGGATATGATCATCAGGAAGCCCTGTGCAGGAACAAGAGATGTTAGAAGGACATTGGAGCCATCACTGGGTGCACTGCTGCTGCCTAATGAATGCAATGGAATCTGAGGGCACACAGCTTGGAGGATTTCTACTCTATTGTGGAAGAGGCTCTCAAGGATGGCAGTTCCTCAATGACCACAAGACTCCAGTGGGAAGGAGTAATAAAAGATAATGTCCTCCTGGGTTTTGTGTGGGAACTAGAGTTCTCCCTTGTTCAAGGAAGTTGTCTAGAAGTAGAACAGCTATCTCACCATCCAAGAAGGAAGTTTTCCTTCCCTCACTGAAAAGCAAGCAGAGAAAATGGGATAAATCAAGGAAGAAGGAGGAAACCTTTTTTTTCTTTTACATGAGATTCAGAGTCCCATCAGCATGAAGCTGATCTGGCAGACAGAGCTCCTCCTGCACACAGCTATGCAGAGGTAGTGCAGCCCTTCCTGAATCCCTGCTGGAAATCAAGCCAGCCACATTCATCACTAAGCATTTAGACAACCTGACTATTTTTCTGATGAATGGTAGAATCTGGAGCTGTGCAGTGGTGAGCAGTGTCCTGCTTACTCTGACGTTTCACAATCTGATGGGACAGATCTACCACTGAGTGAAGCTAGCAAGGTCCCGCTGGTTTAGCACATGTTGCAGCACCCGGCCTGCTGGCACACAGCTGCAGGGACTGCTGGGACTCTCTTGCAAGCTGTAAAATTACACCCAGCATCACTTGACCTCAGGCCATCAGTGAGAGTGACGCTTTCCCTTCTATTTTGAGGCCATATCTCCATGCACACTTATTTAGAAAACAACAACTGCAGAGTAACAGACAGAAATAGGAAATCTGACAGATCGCTTTCAGTCTACATCAGCAGCACATCAGCACAGTTGGGCTATTCCAAATATCAGTGGAAACTGCTTAGGCAGAGCAGCACAGAATGCACACAGGCACTTACCAAGGGCTTTCATGAAAGGCTCGAAGTTTTCATGGGACTGGAACTCGTACTTTCCAGTGAAGCTCATGATGGAAGGCTTTCTGTGCTCCCAACACAAGAGAAGATGCCTTGCTGGTATGCACAGCTTGGTTTTATAAAGACCTTTTGCCCTAAAGTTGGTCAGAGGTAAGATGATGTAATTCCTTTATTGCCATGTTCAAACATTAACATAAAACTGGGCAATGGTCAGTGATAAATTGCTCTACAATTTAGAGACCTCAATTTACAGTGCAGGGGCAGAGAAAGTCCCATGTTTTATGGCAGGAGCAACGTGGCATCCATAAACAAACATTAAAAAAAAAAATAATTGCAAGAAGACTAATTGTAAAAGCAACAATCTAATCAGTTTATGGTCTGGATGTGTGCATCTGAAAGGGGAGGAAGTGGGGAGAGATGATGATGTCCCTTGGATACCAGTGGGATTTCTGGTTTGTGCATGCTGGGTCTTCAGCATGGGCACAAATAGTCATGGCTGTATGCTGGCAGGATTAGCTCACTCCCTCCTGCAGATGCTTCATGGTTCTTTGTAAACGTAGTTTCTGGTGTAACCCAGATGTAGGGTTACACTGGGTCACAAAACCATCATTGTCCCCTAAGGAAAAACAGCACTCAGATTTAAATTCTAGCAGCCCAGCCTGAAGTTCACACTCCATCACTATGACCTTGGCTTCAGAAAGAGCTTTCATATGGATGGATGGATTGGTGGCACCAGCAATCGATCAACCAAAGCTGTTACCAGAGGCCAGTACTAAAATCCCTTTCCTCTCATTTCTCTAGAAAAGACATAGAATCATAGAATCACAAGGTTGGAAACGACCTACAAGATCATCTAGTCCAATCGTCTCCTCATCACCATTGCCACCACTAGCACTAAACCATACCACGCAGCACATCATCCAGATGCCTCTTGAAACACTGCACAGTAACTTGTGAAGGAGCTTATGAGTAAAAGCTCAGCCCTTGGAGCTGCATTTCTCTCAAATCCTGCATCAGAAGCAAGGCCAGCAGCAGCTCTTTGCTGGGCTCAGTTCCTTCCCTCAAGGCTGAGCTTAGTGCTTGGGCTCCAATCCCAACACTGTCCCCATGGCATGTCCCCAGGCATCCCAGGTTGCTGCTTCCAAACACTCATTCTGAGGGTTCAGACACCCCAGGCTCAGCTTCTTCTTATCTCCTCTGTCCCTGCTGACATCTCCCAAAGTTATCAATTTTTTTGCCACTTTTCACCCACGTGCCTTCTCCTCTTCATGAGTCTTTCATTCTGCCTTCTCACTGCATATTTGGCCTTTTTGTGGTGGTATGAGAGTGACACTGCCAGGTGCCCAGATCTCACTTATTTACATGTGCAGGCTGGAGTGAATGTGTGTCTGCTAAGTCAGTGGAGAGGCACCTTGGACCTTCCTCAGGTGACCCCAGCCATGTGCAGTGCAGTGACTGCATCTGAGCTGATGGGTAGTTGAGCCAAAGGAGATAAGTACGAGAAAATACATCATGAGGAGTATCCCAGAGCTGCTTATCCCTCTCCAACCTCTTCAAAAGAAGCCTATGTGAACAGGGTGTTCCTATGCAGTTCATATTAGGGAAGATGAATCCAACCTTAGGAGCTTGAAGGAGCATCTGATGTTGTCCTCAGCTCCAAGGAAGCTTGACAGCTCAGCCACTGCAGATGTCCCAGACCCATGCTTTGCCTGGAAGAAAAACATCAGCTTGAAACAAAACAGAACCACCAAGACTAAAACAGCGAATGGGACCAGAGCTCGAGAAAGGATCTAGAAAAGCCCACCAGGTTTTGTCCCACAGAATTTTATATGCCTAATCTGGGTGGCTGAGTTACTTAGAAGTACACAACACAAGACCAACAGAACACTTGCAGATAAAACAAAGAGGTTTTATTTTTGATCATTGGTAATTTTAAGTAGTTTATAATAACAAGTGTTCATTGATTGCATTTCCAGCCTTGATTGCAGTAGTCCATAGCCCACTTCTTTCCAAGAGTGCAGTTAGGAGCATATTGACATATCTCATATTAAAGGAGGGGACGATACCTAGAGAAGACAGCTTATGTTTGAAGTGGGGTGAATTCTCATACAAGTTGCTCATTCTGCTACCATCAGAGTCCTGAACAGTTACATTCTCTTTTTTTCATTTGGTGGAAAATGCCCAGACTATATGAGCTGAATGAATTCCCGGGGGGACTTCTCATTTCATTCCCTGTGGCTTTCTATTTCCCCTACTAAAGAAATGCTAACATTCTTACAAAAAAAGAAGAAGAAAGAAGAAACCTTTGCTGAATTAAATTTGGCCAGGGTAATTATTACCCAGGCAGGCTGGCTAAGCAAACGCAGGTGAGATAAACTTAATCTCAGTAGCAAAGTTCAGAATATTTGTACATCTCTCCACCAGAATATGGGATATTTTAAAATATGAAATCTCTAATTTTCCAGAGGCATGGAAAAGCACCTGATCAGCACAAGGCTGAGTCTATTAGCCATGTCATTAAAACTCAGTTCATAGCCTAAATCTTGGGTCTGGTTTGCAGAAAGAGAAAAAGCAAGAATCATTTTCAAATATGATTGAGGCTATGTCTTGTGGAAAGCCATCAGGTACTTAGTTGTTTAACTTGCTTTGAAAATAATGCATAGGCCCCTAGAAACTTGCCTGAAGAAAAGGACACAATTGTCTCATCTCTCTTTCTTCATCTGAATCAAAGATAAAGATACGCCAAACTTCTCAGCTCCCTCGTAGGCATGGACGTATCCAAATTCTCTGTGTCCCAACGTGATGCATCACAGAAATGCCAGCTGGGAGGGACCTCCAAAAGGCTCTGTTTTAACCTCTTGCTCAAGGCAAGATCATAACCAAAAGGAACAAACCAAGCACCTCAGCCACTCCTCATGTCTTGCCCTCTAGACCCTCCACCACCTTTTGGATCCTCTCTAATAGGTTTTTGTCCTTCCTATGTTGTGGTGCCCAAACCTGTACAAAGTGCTTGAGTGAGGCTGCACCAGGCAGAGCAGAGCAGGACAATCCCTTCTGTCACCAGGCAGTGCTGGGCCTGCTTCACCCCAGAGTGCAGTTAGCTGGTGACTCTTGTACCATTTGCCATAACCATACAGCTGCCCTTGAAGCAGCTGCAGGCTTTTAGCGCCTTCCTTCAAGCCCTTCCTCAGATTCCCATTCTCAGCTCCCATGAGCTGTGAACATTTTCACACGTTGTCTGCCAGGGCACTCAATGCACTGCTGCTTGGTGACTTGGACGTTATGGTTCATCTCAGGGATCCTGCAGGGAAAATCCTTCTCTGCTTACCCCAGTTTGAGCCATAGTTCTAATTTAAGCTTTTGTTGGTTGAATCACAGCTTCCTGTCATGCAAGCCCAGTGGTGTATCCCAAAACCCACAGCCATTCAAAGGAGTTGGTAACAATTTCATCAGCTATGGTTTCCCATGTGGGTTTCCCTCTATTTCAAGCCATATTATTCCTTGGATCATCTCTATTTCTGCTGTGCTTGCACCTGGGAACTTGGTCTGCTGTCCAGTTTTCACATCTTTGGTTCAGTTATTTTTTATTTCAGGAGCAAAGGTTTCTTTAAGTTGGCCATATGGCTGCACTGCTTCAAAAGTTTGGACAGGCCAGGAAAAGATGCTTCTGCTGCAGTTAATTCTCTGTCCTTATATCCACAAAGCTTTCATTGGGTTGCATTACCAAGACACCACTAAGATTAAATGTGGCACCTTTCCCAGCTTTTTCTCTTTTTAAAGTTGTTTTGATGGTCTAATGGAATCAGGACCAGGCTGGCTGGCTCCAAGCTGTACCTTTCAAGTTGTAGACATGCAAGCACCAATTCGTATTGTTTTAGATTAGATAAGCCAATATCAGAGCCTCGATAAGATTGCTGAAAGTGATGGCTTGCACAAAGCACCACCGCTTGATAAAATTTCCTATTAATGCTGAAGTAAAGGAAGCCCTTGGCCCTTGTCATCAGCCATGCCCTCTTCAGATCTTTGATCCAAAGGAAGCAAAGGCCCAGCATTTCTTCTTCAAGAGTAAGGCAAAGATCTCCATGGATAGCATGAAACCTATCTTAGCTTTGCTTGTCAATGATCACCGGGTGGCATAGCTTAGAGAAGAGCTGACTACTGCTGTTGGTGCCTATGGAGATGGGGCTGTCCTTCATCCAACCACTTAGTTTACAGAGTGTCAAGGGGCTGGGACTGAAAATTATGCTCACTGCTTATGGAGCAGTTTTATGTCAGTGCATGAAAAGACAACTGAGAGAGAAATAGAGTCATTAGCCATTAGTGTAAATATTTCTCCCAGCCTCTCCAGCAGTAGCAACACAGGAACGTTTAAGTGGGGACATCCCTGGAGGACAGACAGCTCAAATCTAACTCTGTGACTGACAATGGCAGTAACACGTAGTCTCCCAGGCAGTTAAAACTTACCGTCTGTGCCAAGGAGGGTGTCCTCCATACGCTATAGGATTTGTGGACGGGTTCCACAAATGTGGAGTGAGGATGATCTGGAAGAGCCAGTGAGCATTTAAATGAAGGAAAATGCCTTTCATTTCATCCCACCACACATTTGCAGTGCATATGTCTCTGTATGATCTGTGTGCATGAATAGCCCGTAGAACAGATAAGCCAACCTTCATCCAACCAAGTGGAGAATTGTGTGATAGAGGGCAAAGAGCAGCAGCATCAGAGTGCCTGCAGGTGATCGAGTGAACTCCCATCCTGGAGGTACACCTGGGTTGTCACTTTGAGATGATGCTCACCTCTCCAGCTGGCTCATGCTTTCCTTGATCCTGATTTATCAAGTAAAGCGGCACTTAAAGACTGCCTACAGTGAATGGCTGCAAATTAGTCAGGGAGAGCTTCTCAAGTCCGTACAGGCAGGAGGAGGAACCTGTGTGCCCTGCCATTTGCACGTGAGTCCTGAGGTACAACTGAGTTCCAATGTTAATTATTCTATGAGTTTATGATTCTGTGTGCACTCCATTGACGCCTCTGTCCTTGAAATGGCTCTGTCAGAGCAGTTTACTTTGTGTCCCACAGCCATGAGATCTAAAGAAGCCTCACAAACTGTGGTGACCTTCACTGGT